GGTTCCTTGTGGATTTTCCCAGCTACAACAAACCCTATGATTTATTATCATAATTGGTTTCCATTATTTCAGATATAATATTTTAGTACCCAATTTGAGTACTAAGTAATGGACGCAATCGAGGGTTAGCGTTGGGAGCTTTAAGCGCTGGAATAACAACAATAAAACAACAACATCTACAACATCAACAAGAACAACAGGAGAAGAGGAGTATAAGAATAACAGGATGCCACGTCGGAATGGAGGAGGCAGTTTGATAACAGTCGAAAATGCTGTTCCCTAAGAAAAACAAAACATAATGTTAAAAAAAAAATAAAGAAAAGATAGAGAAAGATAATTAAGAGAGTTATGTATAAAAGATGAATGAAGAGCAGGAAAAGCAGCAGCAACAACAAAGGAAAGAAAAATACATACACAATTGAGTTAAGCAGGCGAGCGGAAAAGAGAGCGTAAAAAGTGAAGAAAAGCAAAGACTAAACTTAAATAATAGAAATTAGTTATACACTAAATAGTATGCTTAAACAACAGCAACAAGAAAACGGGCAAGTAGTAGTAGTAGAAAGGGGCCGCAATTTTCATTGAGGGAGAGAGAGAGAGCAGGAAAAACTTACCAGAACGGGGGCAACATTTTCTCGAAAAGAGAAAATTAAAAATAAACCAAACACTTGAAGCAACATCAATTTGCAAACAACAGAAGGAAAAATGAAAAAAATTTAAAGAAAACGCAAAATTCTAGTTAAGTATATCTATATAAGGAAAAGCAAGAAATTGCATTGAAACAGCAAGAGGGAAAAGAATCGCATGTAAAAATGTTAAAATACAGAGAAACCACAAAAGCAAACAACTTTGTGACGAAATAAAGCAAAGTAAATGAAAACCGAAGAACCCAAAAATGTGTGCAATGTATGTTAAACGAAAAACAAAACAAGAAAGAAAATGAACATGAAAACGGAAATGAAATGAATAATAAAAGCTTGACAACAAAATATATATATAAAAAAAAACTATTGAGTCAAGTAAAAGCGAATACATTTATTTTTTATTGTCGTTTATGAAACTGAAGTTGAAGAAAAATTAAGAAATGAGAGAAAAGAAAATTTTGGTTTTCCAAGATTTTTTTATTTTGCTATTTTAATTTGTCTTTGATTCGATTTTAAATGCAGTTTTTAAGAGTCTAAAGTGTTTGAAGCACAAAGCTAAGAGAGCGGCAATTTTACCCTGTCTCTCTCTTTCTCCCACTCTCTCTCTCGCCCGCGAGAGTTGAAATTGTTTTTCGTTTTGTAAAGAGAAAAGAAAATGGGAAAAACATTCTCATTTATGTTAATTGCAAACGTTTCACACATTTTGTTAATTTGAATAACTGCAAAAAACAAAAAATTGAAGCAGAAAGTTGAAAAATAATAAATAAATCTAAAATGAAAAAAAAAAAACAAAAGAATTAGATTTAAGTACTAGCAAAAATGCAGTAAGCAGCCAATTTAGTAGTTTTTAGAGTCTAACAGATGACAGATAAAAAGATGTTGAATGCCGATGAATAAGAAAAACAACATGATAATAATAACAACAAAATGAAGATAAAGAAATAATAAGAAATCTTGTACTAGTTTTTAGCATATTTTTGTGCTCATCAGTCGATTTAATGAATTTTTTGTAGCTGTCTACAGTTTTTTACGTTTAACTGTGTGTGTTTTTTTCTAGCAACTACAACTAAGATATATTCTTGAATTAAGAAGAACAAGACGAAGCAGAGATAGAAGATAGCATAGCGTATTTTTTGTTGTCTGCAGAGCAAAGAGTAAAGATTACGTTTAGGATGTTGGCATAGGAATGGAAAGTGAAGAGTGCAAGGCAAACAATGAGGCATATACAACAAGAAGAAGAAAGAGTTAAACAAAACACTTAAAGCGAATGGAGAAACGGATATGAAAATGTAGCAATGTAGTTTAGTTTCATTGTGACACGTGGAAAAAGTAGTGAATTTGTCAGTGGAAAAGGAAGCGATCTGTTTTTTTTTCTTATAAATGAAATGGAATGCAGGCGGAACAACAGGCGAGAGCATAGAGAAGTTAAAGGCAGACAGCAGTAGCAGAAATGAAAGCAAAAAAACAAAGCAACTTAATGTTAAAAAAGAGTTAAAAAAAAAAAACAAAAAAAAACTATGTTTAGTAAAGTAGCAATAAGAAGAAAAAATAGAAAAAAAAGATAATGCAGCAGCGATTATTTCTTTAGAGTCTAAGTGTAAGTCTTAAAAAAAGAATCAACATAAAAATTGTCGATGGGTTGATAGATCGTTAGATCGAAAGATCACAATAGACAGACAGGCAGTACAGTGTTTGAAATTGAAGCCTAGCGTATTTTTTTTTCTTTTGACAAAAACACACACTTATACAGCCCACACTTACACACACATTGTATTTGTGATTTAACTGAATGAATTCTTAATTTATGAAATACATAAATAACGAGTTGGACTAGCTTTGAGAATCTCAGAGAGAAGCATTTGCAAGGAGAGAGCTAGTCAGAATCTCGAAAGAGAGGCAGAGAGAAAGTTTGAGATTCAGCAAGTTTCCAGCAGGGATTAAACTGTTCATTGTTCACGCACACACATATACACATTACACACAAACATTCCTGAGCAAAGTCTTTGATTTTTCATATGTATGTATGTTAACTATGTTACATATATGATTTGGCATTATATGGATTGCCTATATGCTAACAATCTATATATAATTATATATATATATATAAATACAAAATGAAAACACAACGCCAAAAGTCTTCCTAAGCCTAAACCAAAACAAAAAGTGCAGTGCATGTTTTCCTATCATATAAAAAGAAAAAACAACAACAACAACTATCATAGATATGATTTATATACTCTCTCTTTCTATTTAATTTGTACAATATGTAATTTGCTTTAGACTGAATACCAAAATGGAAAATGAAACAATAAAAGAAAACAAATTGAATTCAAATGAAAATGCAGGATTTACAAACATCACACAGACAGACAAACACACACACTGACACACTATAGTGGCAAGCGTCAAAGTAAAGCAATGCAAAGATCAACGGAAAGAAGAAAGCAAATGGGGCAATGAAATATTTTGCATAAACATTCCAAGAGCAAAGGCAAAAACACAAACTAAGCAATTTTTTGAATATTTTAATAAATGATAAAAACCAAGACGCCACTGCAAATAGGGAAATCCAATCAACAGCAACTGGGTAAACAAGAATCACAAATACAAGAAAAATGTCAAGAGTTTTGGATTTAAGTTTTTCATATGTCTCACATTTGTCTTCTCTCAAACGTCCACCCCCCAAACAAACACACACACACACACACATCCGCCCTTCGACAGCCCCTACTATTAGTTTCTGTATTCCTACACAAAGTGCAATTTTTTATTTCGTTCGATTCTATAATATTTATTTTTGAAATTTTCTTAATTTTGCAAACATTTTTGCGCTGTTTTTAGGCAGATAAAAAAAGAACATTAAAATTTAGGTTATTTATAAACGAATAGAAGATTGTGAGAACAGGAAGGATGAAAATAGACGAAAGTAAAGAGAGAAGAATCTTAGCTGCAAGAGTTTAGAAAACCGTACTTTTTAAGCCAAGTTAACGGGGCAGACTACAAAGTTCCCCGCAAAAGCATAAAACACATGTTGTAGATGATTATAAAAGAAAGAAGTAAACATAAAGGAGGACGATTGTGGCTAAGGATTAAGAGTAGGAGTAGGAGTAGGAGTAGAACTAGTAGGAGAGACAACAGCAACAACAACTTAGTAACTAAGATCAAAGCACTAGAGTTTAAGTTTAGCTGAGCTAAGTATAGATTTGACAAGAGCGTTGCGTTGATTAAGGATAACAAGAAGAAGGAGAAGAAGACGAAGAAAAGGAATGAAAAAACGAGGAGACAGCAGCAGAAGTGAAGTGTAGCTGATGTAGGAAATATGATTTTTAATTGGTAGTAATTAGTTGATTAGCACGAAGAAGAGGACGACGCGTACGATGACGAATGAAAAGAGAAGAGAGGAATAGAAATTTGTAGTTTTTGTGTAGTTAGAGAGGAAAGCGAAGGGTCGTCACGTTCGGATTAGTTTTAATTTTGCATATAGAATCGATTCACAGACCGATCGTCTAATTGGCAAGCGGCAGAGAGAAGTTTATTATAAATACACATATATATTTTTTTTTAATTACAATTTTTTATTCTATTTCTGACAAAAAAAACCAAACTTAATGAAAAAAACTTGTTTGTTTTGCGTCTGTATTTTGTTTTAATTTAATGCGTTTTACTTTAGTTTTTTAACTAATTTTAAGTAGTTAATTTATTATTTGTCGTAAAACAACACGAAAGAGAAGAAGAAGAAATCATTTAAAAATTTGCCTGTTGCTCTCACAACTTGAGTGAAAGTGAAAAAATTAAATTGAAAATTAAATTTGAATTTGAACTTGAAGAATGTGTTGAAAGTAATTTTTAAAGCGAAATGTCTAGTGCGTAAAATTGAAAACTAAACAGCAACAAAAAAACTTTGAATAAAAAACTTAAAAACCAAAAAAAAAAAAAAAAAGAAATAAATAAATAAAAACAAAATTTTAACTGTTTTTCATTTAAGTTTTATGTTTGACATCATTTGCTTCATTGTTTTTCACACATAAATATATTCTGTTATATCCCCCACTCCCTGGACTTTGTTTATAGTTAAATGTTTGCTATATATATGTTAAGGAGAATAAGCTTAATTGAAATAACTCCAAACTAGTTTCCAGTAACAATTATAAATGAATTGAATTGTGTTTTAAACAGAGGGCAACAAGAACAACTTAGTCTTAGCTAAGTCGGCGGCAAAGTGAAATGGAAAATAGAAAAGAATAAATATGAGAGGGAGAAGAAAAAGAAGAAAAAAACATTTTTTAATTAAGCCAATTTAAGGAAATGATGAATATATATATTTTTTTGAAACTTTTTTGAGAAAACCAAAAAAAAAAAAAAAAAAAAAAAAAAAAAGAAACAAAAAACAATGAAATGAGAAAAGAGAGAAACACATTAAACAAATGCATATAAAGAAAGAATCAAGAGGGAGAGATCTAATAAAATGCAGGCAAATAATGGTTAAAACAACAACAACATCATCGTAGTGAAAGGTCAAGAAACAAGCTCATTAAATTTAAAAAGCAAACACGACGACAAAAGCGTAAAAATGTAGTTCTAAGTAAAACTTTAAAGTAAACATTAAAACAAAACAAAAAAGGCTCGCGCAGAGAAGCAGCTAATTAAACTTAGATGAAAAAATGATAGAGAAACTAAAAAAGAAGGAAATAAACAAAACAAAACAAAAAGAAGTTAAGATAAAGAAATGATCAGCGCTCAGCCGGGTGCAAAGTAAAATGTAAATTTCGCTTGTTGCTATTTTTAAGTTTTAAATCAAAGTCTTTTAAAGAACTTTATTCATTTCTCTTGTAAAACGATAAAACGTGAAGCTAACTATATCTCCTCTCTTTGTAACTCTCCACAAAAAAGTATATATAGAAAAAAAAAAATAAAAATGATAACCCCTTTCGAATCTCTGTGTATTTTTTAAGGTATTATTTTTTGCATCAATGTGACGCTTGAAAGCATTTTTTACATGCATATGGAAAAGAATTGTATTTAAACACTAGAAAAAGCAGACAAAAAAAAAATAAAGACAAAGATAGAGATGATAAGCAAACGATGCAAACAACTTTGCTAAAACTTTCAAATTTATAATGCGTACTTTTTGTGCGCTAAAAACTTTAATGCAAAAAATCATACATTAAAACAAAAATAAATTGGAGCTAAGGAGATAAAGTTTAAATGATAAAAAAAAGAAAACACAAAAAAAAATATTAAATGAAAAATTAAAAAAAAAAAAAATTAGTTTAAGCAAAACATTTTGCAGCTTTTGTGCTTATTTCGCTTAAGAAAAGTAAGACTAGTTGAAAAAGAAAAAAATTAAATCTAATTGTAAGTAAAGAAAAAAATGAAAGAACGAGGTAACATTGAGCGCAGGTGCAGCATGCAGGTGCAGAAAAGCATTAAACAGAAAATAGCAAAAGATTAAAAACAAAAACCAGAAGAACATACAAAGTAAAAATGTCTCTTTAAAAACACTAAAGAGCAAATGCTGTCATCCAAAAAAAAAAAAAAAAAAAAAAAAAAAAAAAAAAACACAAAAAAAAAGAAACTGAACTTTTTCTGAATCAATAAAAAACAAATTGATTTTCTGTAAGAAAACAAATGCGATTGATGTTTTTACTTTAAAGCGGGGTTATGTGCTGGAATGGAATGGCATGGGCTTCTCCAGCTTGTTGATGGATCAATATCATGATTTGGGGGTTGCTGCTGAGACACCCTTAGCTATTGAGGTCTGCAAAGTGTGGGCAAATGGCCGCAGGCAACAAGTTTACACACAGCTCCAAGCCTTTCAGACTGGACCCGTAATATCTGCGGTGGTCGGAACTTCCCCTAAAATACGCAACAGTGGGGGGCCACAAAATATGAAAAGCCTACGGCACATCCGTACATACGCACACACATTTATATGCATGTGTATGTGTGCGTTTGTGTGTGTGTGTGTGTTTGTATGCGCGCAAAGCCGTAAGGATGAACCGAAAAATGTTGACAGCAATTCAGCCTACAAGTTTTGCTGCGAACCTGTTCGTTTGACTTGTTTGATGGTTTTATGAGCGTCAAAACTCGACAGCTTAATAGACGTTTTTATGACAGCAATCACATTTTCATTGTTATTGTAATGAGAGACAGGGGTGACTGTAACATGTAAGTCAGTGTATGTGCATGTGTGTGTGTGCCACAAGCCACATGCCACCACACGCACAATTCGCAAGGGATGCTGCAAGAGCCGCCAGCAAAGCTCCCACTACCCTATAAAGCCAGCGCACAACAGCTAGTCATCCATACACACACACACACTAATTTGTTTGTATATATGTATACACACATGCCTAGTCTGTAGGTATGCAAGTTTGTATTTTTACTTATTCTGTTGATACAAACGCAAAACTGGCTGCTGTGAGCCGTCATCAGTGTTGCCAGTTTAGCCAATTTCAGGCCAGATCTAGCCTATTTGAGAGTGGTCTAGCCTATTGATTGTCTCTCTGTCTATCCCACAGTTCTTCTCTTTGTCTGTCTGCTAACAAACGCAAGAGACGTAAAATCACTCAAAATAACAGAAGATCATTACAGTTGTTTATATGTGTGCAGAAGTATTCATTTCGTATTTATATTTGAGTAAAACGAAGTGCGAGCAGCAGAGAGTAAAACGAAGTACGAATACTTGCAGCAGCAGAGAGTGTTCCCATTGGTCGGGCCCATCATTTGAGCGCAACTAAGTGTCTGAATCAAAGTTACCCTATATAAAGGGCAGCAGCTGCAGCAATTCTTCAGTCGCCCAAGCCTGGTGGGGTCAGTCGTTCAGTGCAGTGAATTTAATTGTGTGTGATCGTTTAGCTAAGCAATAAATATTTGGAGAATATACTTATAAGAAATACATTTTAGAAATTTGGCGAAATTTTTTTATTAAATTGTTTGATTTTGTATTTTATTATATAATAATATATTCGTTTATTTTTATATATTTTTGTCCACTTTTTTTGCTATTCCAGCATTTTTTCCTATATTCAGAGCTTAACAGCTGGCAACACTGACCGGCATGAACACCGGAACAAGCGCCAACATCGAGACCGGCATGCGTGTGCCTGTGTGAGTGTGTGAGAGCACCTCTTGCACTCACTCTCTCTGGCTGTGACAAAGCAATGCAAACAACAATAACTACAGCGTGCGCACACACACAGTCGCACGCACGCGTGTATGCCTTGTTGTTTACTTGCTTACCGTTATTTCGTTTGGGTCTCTCGCTTTTGTTGTGGCCGCTGCTGAGCGTTTCTGTTCGCCTGGTCATTTGTTGTTTTTTGTAGTAGTTGTGTGTGACGACGAGACCGACGGCAGTGTTAGAGAAGGCATTGCCATCGTGCGACGTCAGTGCGAACGCAGCGGGACAGGCGGCTGGTTGTGTTACTTAGCTATTCATCAATTTATTTGAATTTTGTGGTAAGCTATAGGTAATAATATTTTCAACCAATATTTTCATTTGTATTTAAAATTTAAAATTATTTTTAGATGTTTAAAGCCAGCCGCGTTACTGAAGTCACATATTTACATAGCATCTGGCAGCTTTGATTAGCGATGTTCACGACCCATAGATGGCGCTACTTAATTTTGAAGAAAAACAACCGAATAAAAATGTATTTTATGCACTTAATGTTGTCCGAATTTATCTGGATTTCTATTTAGTTTTTATTAATTTCATTTCGTACAGACTCTTATGCATGCAATTTTAATTGTTCGTAAGCTATTTTTAAACAATAAAACTTAGCTTAAGATCATGCAAGCGCAGAGCGCAGATTAAATCGTACAAAAAATGAAGACCGCTAACTGTAGGTGTTAACTGTTTTACATCGATTTCATTCACTGTTGCCACATATAATTGTAATTGAATTTGGTTAAACAAGATGTTGCCATGGAAACGATGATAATTGTCGCGCTTGTAAACCGTTAACAAATTAATGCTAAGAACCGAACTATTTAAAACAAAATCATACAAAAATCTTTACACATATGATGGCCCTTCCCGCTTTGTCTCACTTGCCACCAAAGCCTCCCATCAGGTTCCCCAGTCCGCCTAGGCCACCCGCTGCGCCCTGTTGCAGCTGTCGCATCATATTTTGAAGGCCACCAACGCCGCCCATTTGCTGTAGCATGCGGGGATCAATCATCTTGGCCATCTGCTGATTAAGCTTGGCCATTTGCGTGGGATTCACATTTTTAGTCATATCGCCTTGTTTGAAGAGGCCCTTAACGCCACCCATTTTCTTAACGACTGCCGCAAATTTCGTGTAGTGGGCTATCAGCTCCTTGACCTCTCGCTCAATGACTCCTGCGCCATGGGCCACACGGGTGCAACGTGTAGGTTGCTTGCTGAAGAGTTTAGCCCCGTCACGGTTGTCCAGTTCACTGTCGGACATACTGTCCATCATTGTCATCATGCGCTTGATACGCGCCATCGACTCCTGCTCGCCACCCTTGGTCATGAAATCTTGCGAGAATCCGGGTATCATGTTCATAATCTGTGAGAAAGGTCCCATTTTCAAGATATTCTGGAACTGTTCGTACATGTCGCGTATGGTGAAATGGCCATGCTTGATCTTCTCCAGCAACTCTTCGTTGCCGTCTAGTTTCAGTTCATTCACCTGTTCAATACATGAAGTACTAAGTTAATTGATAGGGGAGAGTGCTGTATCATAGTTACCTTGTCTATCAGTCCCTCAATGTCACCCATGCCTAGAAGTTTGCTCACAAAAGGTTTCGTTTTGAACGGCTCCAAGTCGTCAATGTGCTCGCCAGTGCCGATGAATATAATGGGTGACTGAGTGGCAGCCACAGCAGAGAGAGCACCACCACCCTTAGCATGGCCGTCCAACTTTGTGATAATCACGGAACCAATATCCACTTTCTCTTTGAAGGCCTTTGCTTGAGCTTCGCAAGCCTGTCCAATCGTGGCATCCATGACGAAAATGATATTGTCCGGGTTGACCGCATTTGCCACCGCCAACATTTCCTCGAACAGCGACTCTTCCTGCTTATGTCTGCCCGATGTGTCCACAATAATCATTTCGAATCCTTCGCGCTTAAACATGTCCACTCCTTCTTGTGCTATGACCACAGGATCGATTTCTGTGTAGCTGCCATAGAATGGAATGCGCGCCTTGGTCGCATTCTGCTTGATCTGATCGTAGGCACCCGCACGGAATGTATCCGCGCAGACGAGGCACGACTTCCAATTACGTTTCTGGTAGTGATAGGCTAGCTTAGTACATGTGGTTGTTTTGCCGGAGCCCTGCAGGCCCACAAACATGATCACATTGGCCTTGCCTTTTACTGGCTGATATGGCTTGACACCCGGATCCACCAGTTTGATGAGCTCCTTGAACACGGCGGACTGTATCATGCGGCGTTTGTTCAATCCTCCGGCCATTTCATCAAAGTCGATGACTGCTCGTACATTCTCGCGCAGCTGCTTCACCTGCCGTATGTTTACATCGGCCTCTAGCAGCGCAGCGCATATCTCTTTCAGCATAGCACTTAGGGCTTCCTCATTGATGACGGTGGCTTTGCTGAGCGAATGCAGCGCCGTCGTTATTTTTCGTCCTAAATCTGCTAAAACCATCTTGGCGTATTACGTGATACGTTAACTGTATTGCAGCGGCGTGCGTTTTAATTTAGTTGCCTTATATGCAAAACAAAACATGCGAATTGAAAACGAGTTAACTTTTGATTTTCTCTGACACGTCAAATGTCGAACACAAAGAAGAAGTTGAGACTGACAGTCAAATGGACATGTGCAAATGTCAAAACAATGCGAGTCTGAGTATGTGTGAATGTGAATGTCAGATATTTGCCAGTCAGCTGTTTACGTTTACTGTGAATGTCAGTCATGCTGTTGGTTTCTTTTAAAATTAAGGCGCTCAGTTTGTATTTCGTAAATTCATGGGCGTGAAGGAATTATGGAGCATTTTGACACCTTATGCAGATCGCAAACCCATATGCGAACTACGCGGCAAGAAGGTTGCCATAGATCTGGCTGGATGGGTTTGCGAAAGCCTTAATGTTGTCGATTATTTTGTGCATCCGCGGCATCATTTAAAGTAAGTTCTCGAATAATGAATAGTGAATTATATTATGAATTAGTGAATTATTATTATTTATTATGATTTTATTATTTACCACATGTCCTCCACAGAAATCTCTTCTTTCGTACGTGTTACCTCATTTGGGAACAGGTAACGCCAGTGTTTGTATTGGAAGGAGTCGCGCCCAAGCTTAAGAGTCAGGTAATAGCTAAGCGCAATGAGCTGCAATTTCGCGGTGCGCGACCCAAGGATAAGGATAAGGACAAGGATGCAGTGGGGCCCACACAAGCGGTAGCGAAAAGCGATAAAGGACGCACTCGTTTCAATCATGTGCTCAAACAGTGCGAGAATCTACTGCTGTCCATGGGCATACAATGCGTTCAAGGACCGGGAGAGGCTGAAGCCTATTGTGCATTTCTTAATAAGCATGGAGTGAGTTCAGTTGCTTACTTTACATGGTTAAATTAATCATCTATATTTATCTAAGTTAGTGGATGGTGTCATTAGCCAGGACTCCGACTGCTTTGCGTATGGTGCCGTGCGTGTCTACCGAAACTTTTCCGTGTCAACTCAGGGCGCTCAAGCTGCAGCTGGTGGTGCAGTAGATATTTATGATATGCAAGAGATTTGTAATCACATGGATTTCGGACAAAATAAAGTTATTGTTATGGCGTTGCTCTGTGGCTGCGATTATTGCCCGGATGGCATAGGCGGCATAGGAAAGGATGGAGTACTTAAGTTGTTTAACAAGTACAAGGAATCAGATATATTGGATAGGTAAATCATTTTCCACTTTCCATATTACTTTTACAAAAGTTTTCTATTCAGATTACGAAATTGGCGGTCCGAGACGGATAAATACAACGCACTGGAGTTGCGCGTGGACGACAAATCCATTTGTAGCAACTGCGGTCACATTGGACGCACACAAAGCCATACAAAAAGCGGTTGCGGCGTCTGTCGCACACATCGCGGCTGTGATGAAAGCCTATGGAAGTAAGTAAGCTGGTTAGTTGTTTGCCTAATCCTAATATTATATTCTCTTTAGAGAACAACGGCTGTCTATCAAGGCGGAACTGACATTGCGCAAAAAGGCTCTGCTGGATGTAGATTTTCCTAATGAAGAGATCATATCAGAGTTCCTTACTCAGCCTGCAAAACTTCCCAATTTGGTTCTGGACTGGAGGCAGCCTAATATCGTGAAATTCATCAAACAGATTGGACATCTCTTGCAGTGGCCAGAAATTTACTGCTTTCAAAAGTTTTTTCCGTTGCTCACCCGCTGGCAAGTGCAGCAGCCAAACGAAGCCCTTGCCCTAGTCCAGCCACAGGAGATTATCAAGAAGCGCACAGTGAAGGGAATTGCCAGCCTGGAGTTGCGTTGGGAAGACACTCGTGGCTGCTTCGAGGGACTTATACCGCATGACCAAATTGAAGAATTCAAACTGGATCATCCAAAGGGCGTGGAGGAACTTTACTACACTGTTGAGCCATTGGACATGTTACAGGCTGCCTATCCAGATATGGTAGCTGCCTTCATCAAATCCAAGGAGAAGCCACCCAAAAAGACAGCATCGCGTAAGAAGAAAGTAAATTCAGATGCGCCGCTCAGTGCACTTGAGAATCTGTCGGATTTGGCAGCGACAACAGCAGAGATTATCACAAAACCCAAGCGTGGTAAAAAGAAGGTGCCTACTAATCCACCAACGCATGGACAAAAAACAATGCAGCACTTCCTCAAGCAGAAGGAGAATACACCTATTAAGTCCTCTCGCCAGCTGGCGAATCAATGCTCCACGCCTCTTAACAAGCACTTGCCCTCTGATTTGGAGAGCGACGCCGAATTTGATATGTCCGACATTATCAATGGCATTGTTTCCAATCCGCAAGCAGTGCCTGCTGTGACCAAGCACGACGGATACCAGCTCCACTATGAACCGTTGGCGGACGATTTAAGCCTTCGTTTAGCGCAACTGAGCTTGGACAAGCATGATGTGTCACACCAGCAAAGCTTACTGATCGATGATGTAGATTTGCTAGTTCAAAAGCGCCGCGATATCTCCATGAGGACTGAGAATATGCCATTGGCCAAGCGCTACTCGTTAGACGACAGTTTTGATCTATTAGTCAAGGGCGATCTAAAGAAAGTGCCACACCTGGTCAAGACACCCGTGGAGCGTTTCAAACAGCAGCATCGCCTGTCCACGGCGAACGAGTCCAAACAACTGCCGTCTATCAAGCCAGCAGCAAATGTCAGTTACTTCTTTAATCAAAGTGTTGAAGGTGCCGATGCTTTCGAGCAGTTGATGGAGTCAAGTTTGAAGCACTCGGAAGAGGATTTGGTGGTAATCAGTGACAGCGATTAAGTTTTTCTCTTTATGTACATCTAATAGTCTGCAATATATTCCCATTTAACAATAACAAACTTATAGCTTGCGTTTGCTCTGGGGCAAATTAAAACTCCAAATAACGTTTGGCATAGAGTTGAGCATTGCGCATCGCCTGCTCCAATTGCTCCTCGAACTGTGTGTTAACTTTGCGTCCTTTCATGTTACAGACGACTTCGG